CAATCTCCCTTTTCCCTATCTTACGCTACTTTAACTTTCGTGATTGAATTGAGTGGATGTTTTAACCCTAATGAATAGAAAATGACCAATTTAAACGATTCTACTGAAAATGTTATTGTTTTTTTGCCCAACATATAATCTAATGAAATGATGTAATCTATTAAATTATTTAAGTAAAATAAAAATTATATGGTACAACTAATTTATGATATGCAACTATCATATTAGTAATATTAGTAGTGAATGCTTAAAATAATTACTATTAATAGATAATATTTTTATTTAATAGAAAAAGTAAATACACACAACTATCTACTATTTGGTTTTAATATTAGGCATTCCTAGGCTAATCTTCATTTGCTCAAATAAACCGCGACTTATTCAAAAGAGGATAACTATTTGATAGTTCTTGCATAGTTTTTCATGTATAAGTGTATTTGTTTCATTGATTTTCTTCTATTTAATCTCAAGCATTGTTACAAATGATAATTGAGCGAATTAGATCAATTTTAGTCAATCATATCGTGTCAAGATAACAAACGGTTCAAGATCCAATTGAAACTGAATTAATTGGATCAATATGAATTGAGCCAAAAAGGAGCAGATAATGAGTCAAGACCCAACTCCACTCAGTTTTCACCCAGTTTAATTAATTTATTTGTTCTTTTAAAATATATTAGTACACATAACATTAGGATAAAATTATTTTATGGATATATGTAAAGAATTATACTACACAACCTCCTACTTTTTCATTAGGGATGACAATGGGGCGGTGTAGGGCTGGGGTGGTGCGGGTGGAGCTTAACCCACAAACTTTTTTATCCGCCCCGCCCCGCATAGAAAAAATTTTCATTTTCACCCCTCCCTGCCCCACCGTACCCCACATAGACCTGTCCCGCATGAACTCGCCGTGCATTATTTTTATAATATTTTTTTTCTTAGTTATGTTTGATACTAAAACTAAAATTCATTAAAAAGTTGATTTTTTCCTTAAGTTGTATTAATTTAATATGATAGTGACTTTAAATTTTATTTTTCAGAGGTCAATTGAGAATCATGCAAAAAATTCTATTATTATTATGAACCATGTTCATTTATAATAATGTATATTTAAGTAGCTTTAATGAATTTATCCTAATAAATAATGTTCTGTCATTCTATGACATGTAAGAAGTTAAAATTAAGTTTGAACCCACATAAAATCACATATACCCGCAGCCCACCTTGACCCACATTAACTAAAAAGAAATCCACTTCAACCCACCCCACTTCAAATTAGTGAATATAAACGCCTTACAATGTACAAAACCATTTATGTTGAGAAATTTAAAATTTATATATAAACAAACAAAAAACACTCTTATATATATCATATAAAATTTCTGTCAAGAAAATTCAAATGAATATACCTTCGCCCCTTCTAGATGCGCCCTTGCATAAAAGTGGCTAATATGCAGGAATTTTTAAGTGTATCTGTTTAATTCATTTTCTTCTATTTAATCTCAAGCATTGTTACAGATGGTAATTTAGCGAATTAGATCAATTTTAGTCAATCATATTGTGTCAAGATAACAAACGAGTCAAGATCCAATTCAAACTGAATTAATTGGATAAATATGAATTGAGCCAAAAAGATGTAGATAATGATTCAAGACCTAACTCAACTCAATTTTCACCCAGTTTAATTAATTTATTTGTTCTTTTAAAATATTTTAGTACACAATAACAATAGGATAAATTTTTTTTATTGATATATGTAAAGAATTATACTACACAACCTCCTACTTTTTCAGTAGGGATGACAATGGGGCGGTGTAGGGCGGGGGTGGTGCGGGTTGAGCTTAACCCACAAAATTTTTAATCCACCCCACCCCGCATAGCGAAAATTTTCATTTTCAACCCTCCATGCCCCGCCCTACCCCACATAGACCTGTCCCGCATTAACTCGCCCTGCATTATTTTTATGATATTTTCTTTTTTCTTAGTTATGTTTGAAACTAAAAATAAAATTCATTAAAAAATTCATTTTTCCTTAAGTTGTATTAATTTTATAGGATCGCGACTTTAATTTTTTTTAGAGGTCAATTGAGAATCATGCAAAAAATTGTATTTTTTTAATGAACCATCTTCATTTATAATATTGAATATTTTAATATCTTTAATGAATTTATCTTAGTAAATATTGTTGTGTCATTCTATGACATCGTAGAAGTTAAAATTAAGTTTGAACCCACATAAAATCACATATACTTGCAGCCCACCTTGACCCACACTAATTAAAAAGAAATCCACTTCAACCCACCCCGCTTCAGACCCGCGCCACACAACCTTAAGCCCGCCCCGCCTCACATACCCTTAAACCTATCCTGCCCCGCATCCGGTTCACCTTATTGCCATTCTTTTTTTTCATGGTCGTCTAAAAACAATGGTAATCAAATTAGTGAATATAAACACCTTACAATTTACAAAACCATTTATGTTGAGAAATTTTAAATTTACATATTGACAAACAAAAAACACTCTTATATATATCATATAAAATTTTTGTGAAGAAAATTCAAATGAATATACCTTTTCCACTTCTTGATTCGCCCTTGCACAAAAGTGGCTAAAATGCAGGAATTTTGTGTCAATAATACTGAATAGATGATATCTCTTTGTATTTTCTATGTCTCTTACATATTAAAATGACGAGTTTTTTGAAAAATAAAAGATGACAAAATCCAAAAATTGAATTTGTAACTAACCTATAAAATGAAGTTTAACTATTTTGATGTGTTAAACGTCACATGCAAAAAATATGAAGTTGACTGAATTGGACATATCACATCAATTTTAATCTCTTTTCCCATAAATTTATGTAATATTTGCTTCTTTTTTTAAGTTATTTCCAAAATAAAGTCTTTTCATAGTCCTATATTAAGTGTCCATTTTATTATAAATAATTATTTCAATCATTTGGATCTCATTCATTCTTAAAATTATTACTTTTTTAATTTTGTAGATTAATCAATTTTGTAATCCTTCAGAAAAAAAATTCTTTAAGTTCATATTAATAAAATTTATCATTTTTATAGTGAAAAAATAAATAACTAAATTAAAATAAAAAATACATAATTTATCTCTACATTTTTTTCATTGATTTTCTTTTATTTAATCTCAAGCATTGTTACGGATGGTAATTGAGCGAATTAGATCAATTTTAGTCAAACTTATTGTGTCAAGATAACAAACGGTTCAAGATCCAATTCAAACTGAATTAATTGGATCAATATGAATTGAGCCAAAAAGGAGCAGATAATAAGTCAAAACCCAACTCAACTCAATTTTCGCCTAGTTTAATTAATTTATTTGTTCTTTTAAAATATTTTAGTACACAATAACATTAGCATAAAATTATTTTATGGATATATGTAAAGAGTTATACTACAGAACCTCCTACTTTTTCATTAGGGATGACAATGGGGTGGTATAGGGCGGGGGGTGGTGCAGGTTTAGTTTAACCCACAAACCTTTTAATCCGCCCCGCCCCGCATAGCAAAAATTTTCATTTTCAACCCTCCATGCCCCACCCTACCCCACATAGACCTGTCCCGCATGAACTCCCCGTGCATTAATTTTCTAATATTTTCTTTTTTCTTAGCTATGTTTGACACTAAAAATAAAATTCATTAAAAAATTCATTTTTTCCTTGAGTTGAAATAATTTAATAGGATAGTGACTTTAAATTTTATTTTTTAGAGGTCAATTGAGAATCATGCAACAAATTGTATTATTTTTTATGAACCATTTTCATTAATAATATTGAATATTTTAGTAGATTAAATGAATTTATCTTTAAAAATAATGTTCTATCATTCTATGACATGTAAGAAGTTAAAATTAAGTTTGAACCCACATAAAATCACATATACCCACAGCCCACCTTGACCCACATTTAAAAAGAAATCCGCTTCAACCCACCCCGCTTCAGACCCGCCCCACATAACCTTAAGCCCGCCCCGCCTCACATACCCTTAAACCTATCCCGCCCTGCATCCGGTTCACCTTATTGCCATTCTTATTTTTCATGGTCGTCTAAAAATAATGGTAATCAAATTAGTGAATGAATATAAACGCCTTACAATGTACAAAACCATTTATGTTGAGAAATTTAAAATTTATATATAAACAGACAAAAAACACTCTTATATATATCATATAAAAATTTTGTCAAGAAAATTCAAATGAATATACCTTCGCCCCTTCTAGATTCACCCTTGCATAAAAGTGGCTAAAATGCAGGAATTTTGTGTCAATAATACTGAAAAAAATATCTCTTGGTATTTTCTATATCTCTTATGTATATAAATGACGATTTTTTTAAAAAAAGATCACAAAATCCGAAAATTGAATTTGTAACTGACCTATAAAATGAAGTTTAACTATTTTGAGGTGTTAAACGTCACATGCAAAAAATATGAAGTTTACTGAATTGGACATATCACATCAATTTTAATCTCTTTTCCCATTAATTTATGTGATATTTGCTTCTTTTTTTAAGTTATTTCAAAAAGAAAGTCTTTTCATAGTCCTATATTAAGTGTCCACATTATTATAGATAATTATTTCAATTATTTGTTTCACATTTATTCTTAAAAGTATTACTTTTTTAATTTTGTAAATTAATCAAGTTTGAAAACCTTCAGAAAAAAAATTCTTTAAGTTCAAATTAATGAAATTTATCATTTCGATAATTAGAAAATAAATAACTAAATTAAAATAAAAAATACATAATTTATCTCTACATTTTTAGTAAATTTAGTATCACATTAATCAATAAGATTTCTATTACATGTCACATTCCAATTTTCTATTTATTTTTAATTTTTTTAATGTCGAATTAAATTGTATCACGTAATTTGATACGGACAAGACAATACAACTACGGAACCAGCCCCCACCACCCACCCCAATCACCCCACTCCATATTGCAATTCTGTAAAATTTAATTTAAGAAAAAAACATATCTCCCCCTTTCCTTCTTTAGTTCCCTCTTTCACTCTGCGCTGATGAAATTGAAGACTTCAAAGTCATACAAATTTGTGTTCAGCAGTTGAAGGATAACGTGTGCGCAAAATGGTATTATGATACTTTTCTAACTTTTTTTGGATGTTTACAGTAGTAATTTTAGTTGTTGATAAGCTTAAATGTTCTTTCTCTTTTTGTTTAAAAATCAAATCATTCTCATTTGGATTTTGTTAATTTTGTGAAATGGATGCCCGATTTTCCACTTTGTACTTTTTTTTGTGATAGATGTTAGTTTTTTTGGGATTTTGGAACGTAGAAAGAACCCTGTTTTCCTTTCTTTCTTTATTTTTGTTTTTAGATGTTTGTTTTACTGCATAACATTTCTTTTAAGTCGAGGGGCTATCGAAAATCAACTCTGAAACACCACAAACAAAGTAAGGAGTAAACTGTTGTGTACATGTTATCCTTTCTTGAACTTTTGAAACTTAACTTTCTGTCTGGCTAAGCAACTAGTCAAAACATATACCAATATGTATATATATTGGACATGATCCTTCCTCACCTATGAAGAAGAAACTCGAGAAGCATTACCCAATTTGGGATTCGTGAGTTGATATTTATTTCAAAGTTATGTTATGTGTTGAATTTCTCAGGACAGGTTTAAACATTGAGTGGAAACTTACTTTCTGTCTAGTTAGTAGAGATTTCTTGCTTGTTAAGAGATTACTCTAAGTAAGAACAAGAAGTATGTTGGACATGTTCCTTTCTTAAGAAGATACATCATCCAATATGGGATTCTTGAGTTGATGTAAATTTCGAAGTTATGTTGTGTGTTAAATTCTCCTAGGCGAGCTTGAAGTATTGAGGAAACTTTCTTTTTGTATGGTTTGTAGGAATTTCTTGTTTGCTAAGGGATTTGTCTAAGTTAGACCGACAAGTATATATATGTTTGACATGATCTTTGAGTTTCTTCTTCACAGATGAGGAAGGATAATGTCCAACATATATACTTGTCCGTTTAACTTAGACTAATCCCTTAAGAAAACAAAAGTTCCTACTAATTGTACAAAAAGTAAGTTTCCATTAAATACTTTAAGCTCGCCAAGAGAATTCAACACACCACATTACTTAGAGATAAACATGAACTCATGAATCCCTAATTGGGTGATTCTTCTCGAGATTTTTCTTGACAAATGAGGGAGCATCATGTCTAACATATATACTTCTCGGTCTAACTTGGACTAATTCCTTAGCAGACAAGAAATTTCTACTAGCTAGAACGAAAGTAAGTTTCCACTCAATGCGTCAAGCTCACCCAAGGAAATTTAACACACAACATAATTTTGAAATAAACATCAATAAAGAATCCCAAATTGGTGATGAATCTTCGAGTTTTATCTTCATAGAAAGGAATGAGTATGTCCATCATACTTCTCGGTATAACTTAGATTTATTCTTTATTAAGCAAGAAATTCCTAAAATTAAGTTGCATTTCACTCTCTTCTAATACTACATAGTAAAACTTAACTATCCTCAGGTGATTAAATGTGATATTCGAGAATCTTGCATGAATCTCATCAATAAAATCACAGGGCACAAGTTCGAAATAATCCCATCACTAAGGATGCATAATCATTCTTCTTGTAGCATAAATGTTTGGGGTCATAAACTCCAAAAAGGTTAACTGATATAATAGTATTTGTTGTAACAGTGTTAAATTTATAGTCAAACATTTGTACTAAAATTAATACGAGTACTATTTTTATATATACTACCAAGTGACTCCTTTAGTGTTGAAAGAAGTGTCAAGTATTATCTATTGATTTATAATGTTGCATAAATACATGTAAATCAGATAGTGTTTTGATGTAAACACTCACTACTATAAATATGTTGTACAGTAAGTATCGCATCACTAATTTGAACTTCTAGGTTCTCTTCAAATTCTATGCAAAAATACTTTATATGTGTTTACTTTAACCTAATCCAAACAATTTTATATCAAAATTTGCAAACTAAAGAAATCAATGCAAGTGTCATCTACGAATTATATACCTTTTAATTTATTGTTAAAGTTGTGACATGTTTGTTTGTTGTTCGTGTAGCATATACTCTGTCCTTACAAATTGTATTCTTTTTTAATTTCTACAAATTATCATGCCTCTAGATGAACTAAGATTATGTTTACCTTCTCTTGATCGACTTAGCAATCTTGCCATTCATTTAATTGATGACATTTTAAAAAGGTTGTCTTTTCAAGATTTATAACAACTAGTACACTTTCTATGGACTGGCAATATACTTGCCAAAAAATTACACAGGTTAAATTTGATCAAAAGGACTGGGATACACCAGAGGACTTTACATCCCATCCTAGACTTTACTAGTCTAAAAGTATGTCCTAAATAAAAATTTTTGACCTAACTTGGACTAATCCCTTGAAAGGAAAGAAGTTCCTGATAACCAAAAAGTAAGTTTCCCTGAGAGAATTCATCAAATAACATAACTTTGCAATAAACAAACAAAGACTTAAATCATATATCATTTAAGAGCATCCATGAAATGTAAAAATCATTTATGTTCCCAAACAGAGTATTCAAAACTTTTACAATTCTATGTTTCTATGCAGATAAAATCTTTATAGTACCTTAAAGCAAAGGCAAAACACAGCCTTACTACTCATCAACCAAACGTCCCGTTTCTGTTTGTACTTCCAAAACATTTTAGCCAAAGATTAAGAAGGATTGTGATAAAGATACTAATCAACAAGATACACAACTTCTGCTTTAGATGATACCCGTTGAGACTTTGTTATCTCCATGAAAACATTGAGAGATTCCTTAGTTTCCATTTGACGAGGCTTGATTACCATTTTCACCAGTGCTGGAGACTTTGCCAATAAAACTTTCATAAGCTGCATTTCAACCGCTTCTAATAATACATCATAAAACTTTACTTTTCTTAGATAATTAAATGTGATATCCGAAAAGCTTGCAGGAATCTCATCAACAACTTGCTGGGGCACACATTCGAAATAATCTCCATCACTAAGGATACATTCCTAAGAAAAAAAAACCATCAAATCATTACACACGAATATAAAAACATGGAAAAGATAGAAAGAAAAATAAACATTAGTGAGAACCTTAATTTAAATTTCTTCCAAATTTGGGGAACTTCGTATAATGCAAGTAATAAGCAAAAGCTAAAAAAACTCTCCAAGAGTAATCCAAGATATGTAAATGTATTTAGGACAGTTAAGAGCTGATGGAAGCCTTGTTGGTAAGAGTTCAGTTGATACATTATCGAACTACAAATAAAATGACAAAATTAGGATGACTCAAAATAAAAAAAAAGTACACATGAAAATGCATTACCATTAAGTTAAATGAAGGAACATTATCCCAAAAAGATCCCAGCTGAAACACTCAAGAGTAGTAATAGAGAAAAAATACTGAGAAAATCATCTTCATCCTCTAGAACAAATTTTCTAGGCGCATATAGAACATTGGAAAGAACAGGAATATTTTCAAGATATATCAATTGTATATCGCCACAAAAGATAAATGACCTTAGATTAGGAGCATTAATACTCATGAGGTACATATTGTATGTCTTTTAGCACCAAATCCTCAAACAACGGGTTATTAGAGATCAAACATTTAAACGTATTAGATGATAATGTGACATATTTCAATTTTACCCTAATCAACATAATAAATCCCTATAAGAAATAGGGAAGTTGTATTTCACATTCCATGAAATACAAATTCCTCAATGCTGAACAATAATAAAAGAAGTTGGGCAAACTGTATGAAGGATAAGTAAATGGATGTTTAAGGATAAAATGTTGAATGTGATCAGTGTGAAGGGAAAAAATCAGACGATCAACATTAGGACAAACTATTAGACTAATAATATTGAGGGTGACCATCAATATTATTCTTCTATGGAACCTGAGGAAACTATAAAGAATTGGAATTAATCCATTGGTAGGGGATGTCAAGTCCTCGGGTGTGTTCCACACTGTTTGATCAAACTTCACATGTGGAATTCTCCAGCAAATATATTGCCAGTCCTTTGAAAGTGTACTAACTCTTACAACATCTCGAAAAGATAACCTAGTTTGAATGTCATAGATTAAATGAATGTTAAGTTTCTTAAGTAGATCAGGAGAAGGTAAACTATGACTTTGTTCATCCGGAGGCATGATAATCTGTAAAAATAAACAAAAGTCTGATAGGTAAGGTCAATGTACACTCTACACGAACAACAAACAAACATGTCATAACTCTATGTTTAAAAGAGAAGGTGCATAATAGGAGGCAAATGTAACCTTTTTCAATGTTTAAAAAATGCAAAAGAAATTATTAGTAGCTGACATTTGCATTGATTTATTTAATCTGCAACTCTTGATGTAAATAGTTTGTATGATATTTTAGTACAATATTTGACTGTAAATTTAACTCTGGTACAACTAATACTAGTATTACAATTAACCTCTTTTGAGATATATGACCCTTAACTTTTGTTCTACAAGAAGCATAAAATATTAATTTAGTGAACTACAAACTTAATTTCAATATTTTGGTGAAACATAATAAAAAATACATCCTGAAATTTTAATTTTTTGATAAGCTATTAATAAGAACACCAAATTCATGAGAAATGGTATTATTTTGTTAAACCTAAAACTATCAAGACTTGAATGATAAATCAGATTCCTATAAATAAATAAAAAATTGATAGTTGAACAAGGTGATATTCAATATTTAAGAATAAGCCATAAGTCTATATGCCTTTAACCTATATTTTCTCAAGAAAACAAATTAGAATTACACAAATATTTTAATTTTTCTTAATAGTTTAATATTTTTAAAAATTACAAATCCTAGGAGGAAACAAGAAATAACTTAATTTTGTTGCTACCATTACACAATAAATTTAGGTACACCCATCATCAGAGTATACTATTGTTCTTTTTTGAAAAAAAATTACTTTTGTTATTATTGTTTTACTTATGTTTATTCATAGGGTGGGTCTATGCCGTTAAAGATTAGGCATATGCCTTAGGCTACAAAAAATTTAAAGGCCTAATGTTTTAGTAACAATAAAATTATCGTAAGCTTTTTGTAGCAAAAAAAAGGATGTTTTAATTTGTATGGAACTCTTTTATATGGATCAATTTTAAATTTAACCTCCACATGATATGTTTAAGACCAAAAGATTAAAAAAATGGGTATATATATAACTTTTAGTTTAATATCATAAAAATAAAACTATTTTTATTAAAAAGAAAGAAATTACTGGAATCTCACATAAAAATAAAAAATTGTTAAAATTCGTCCTCAAACTTATTTTTAGCTTTAGGACACTATCTAGCTTAAGTCGTCACTAATTTTTTTTATCAATTATGTGTACTAACTGTTGAAGGAAGCTTAACGACTGATTGGGCACGTCGAAGGAAGAGGTCCATCGAAGCAGACTGATGAGTTAGAGTTAGACTCGTACTAGGATTAGACTACTAAATCTTAAGTTACATACGACTAAGATATTGAATATTATAGGAGTAAACTAGGATAATGTATTTGACTTGTAATACAATACTACTCATGTGATTATTTGTATTGTAGTAGGATTCCTAGTATAACTAGAATAGGACTCTTCTCCTGTATAAGGAGATTGTAACTCAAAATTATAATAATCAATACATCCTTGATTTCTACATACTTTCGTGAGATTTATAAGTGGTATCTTACAAGTAAAGTTTTTCCGCTCTTTAACATATTAGATCAAAATAAACTTAAGACAATGAATTATCTTATATGGAGGACACAAATGACTTAGTTGATTCAAGTGATGAGATTAACCAAAATAATCACAGAACCACGTTGAGCGACCTGTTTCAATGGAGAGACTACAGAGAAAAGTGTAATAGGCGAAAGGGTGTAGAAGACAACAACATTGTTAATGATTGGGAGGATAAGGATATGTTACGAAGGAGTTGGATTTCAGGCACCTTGACAGAAGAAAGCATGTACCAGATTGTAGGCTGCTCAACTTCCATGGAGATGTGGGAATGCTTGGGAGAAACATATTTTCAAGCAACTAAAGATAAAAAGTTCCAAATAAAGTAACAACTGCAAAGTTTGAGGCTAGGAACTCAAACAATTGACGAATACATTAAGGAATTAAAAGTCATATGTTATGGTTTTGCAACCATTCACCAGTCTGTAGATGAAGATAGAAAAATGGTTAATTTTCCTAGAGGTCTATGTAACAATTTCAGGACCTTCAGGACTGTCATGCTAGTTAAGACCCATATCCTACTTTTAATAAGTTTTTTAATGCTCTCAGGGGGTTTCATATGAGGGAGGAGGAAGAAGAAGTGCCTTAACAAAACAATAAAATGGCATTCTCTTCCCAAAGAGGCAGGGGAAGAGGAAACTACTCATAAAAAAGAGGAAGTGATAACTTAAATTCAAGAGAAAGAGGCTTTAAGGAGGGTTTACATATTTATACATGTTGTGTTTGTTGAAAACCGATTACCTTATGTGTCTCCAAAGCAATCTCCAAATCAATCTCAAACTAACATTGATCTCTCACCTCACCTTGCTACTTTTGTTGAATCTTTCTCTAAACTATAGAAACCCGATAATTATGATTCAGGGGAAGTACAGGTTGCTAGCCCGCCCATTACTATTGATAAAGATGCTACACCTCATGTATTCATTGATGATAAGAGTATTATTGACCTCTAAAGAACAATATCAGATGTTAAAGAACGTGTTGAATTTGATGATCCATACATTAACATTGAAGCTCCAGGTGCAAATTTTGAATATGCCAGCAGCAGTGAGGAACAAGTTGCTCTGAAAGGTCCAACCAATGATCATCATCAAACAACCACTTTAGTTTATGTAGCAGTTGACCTTCAAGTTGACAATGCTACACTCGAGTCCACTGTCTTGATTAATGTACAGTTGAGGTACTTCTTGCACCACAAAGGCATCATATGATCACCAGGAACAAGGCGAAGGAATGACACTTGTTACTTGTTACTAGCAACAACACATAAATTATGAGAGAACCAAATACTACTAACGAAGCACTAAAATCACATTATTGGCTTGCAACAATGCAAGAAGAAATTGGTGATTTACATACTAACAAGATATAATTTTTTGTGCCTAAATATCCTGATATGAACTTGGTTGGATCAAGATGGGTGTTCAAGAGAAAATTAAAAGTTGATGGGACAATAGATAGGTATAAGTCCAGACTTGTGGCAGTGGGATTCTCGCATCTTGAAAGGCTAGATTCTGAGGAAATATTTTGTTATGTGGTTAAAGCTACAACTATTAACGTGGTCCTATCCATTGTTGTCAGTTCAAAGTGGAAATTTAGACAAGTAGAAGTCAAAAATGAGTCAACCCCCTAGTTTTATTGATCCCTAGTATCCTTAGCAGGTATGTCTACTTAAAAAGGCATTGTATGGTCTTAAACAAGCCACAAGAGTATGGTTTTATAGGTTTAACTTGCATCTCTTACACCTTGGTTTTATTTGTAATAAGACTGACCCTTCCCTATTTACTTTGCAAACTGACAAAAGAAAAATAATTCTCTTTGTTATACGGGGATTATATTAGTGTCCCAGGAAGTATTCATCTCATGTTTTAGAGTTGGTTCTACAACTTGGAAAGAAGTTTTCCATGAAAGATCTTGGCCCTTTACACTTCTTCTTAGGAATTGAGGTGAACTATTTCGAAGGTGGAATTCACTTAAACCAAAGCAAGTATGGTGCTGAGATGTTGGCAAAGACAGATATGACTTTGGCAAAGGCTGTAGCCACTCCTTTGGCTAGAAACATGGTTTGCATGAAGCTGTGGAAGTTTTGTATATGCATCATTTTAAAGAATGATAGTAGGGAGTCTTCAATATTTGACCCTCACAAGACCTAATATCACTCATGCTGTAAATTTAGCAAGCCAATTTATGCAAAGCCCAAACGCTGAACATTTTCAAGGACTAAAAATGATACTGAAGTACATCAAAGGCACTCTACACTTTGGACTCAGAATTATTTCACAATCACCATGTAGGTTGTATGACTACTCAAATGCTGATTGGGGAGGTTGTAGAAAGACTAGGAGATCAACTACAGGGTTTAGTATCTACATAGGTGCAAATTGTATTCTTAGACATAGAAGAAACAGAGTAGAGTAGCTCGATCGAGCGCTGAAGCTGATTATAGAGCACTAGCCCCCACTGCCGCAGAAATTATTTGGATTTTATATCATCTTCATGACCTTGAAGTGTTCCTTCGATATGTTCCTACATTGTATTCATATAATATTAGTTTGTTATACATGACGATTAATCAAGTTATGCATGCTAGAACCAAACATATTGAACTGGAGTATTATTTTGTTCGTGAGAAAGGGGCACGGGACAACTTCTTACCAAATTTGTAAAGCCTAAGGATCAGCTAGCTGATATTCATACCAAAGCCTTAACAAAATAGGTTTTTTTTCTGGTTTTTGCAGCAAGCTAGGTGTTACAATTTCTCTACTCACTTGCTTGAGGGGAAGTGTTGAAGGAAGCTTGACGACTGATGGAACACGTCGAAGGAACAAGTCCATTGAAGCAGGACGACGAGTTAGAGTTAGATTCATATTAGGATTGGACTACTAAATCCTAAGTATTGTACAATTAAGAAACTGAATATTGTAGGAGTTGATTAGGACAAGGTATTTCACCTGTAATAAATTACTACTCCTGTAATTATTTGTATTGTAGTAGGACTCCTAGTATAACTAGAATAGGACTCTTCTCCTATGTAAGAAGTTTGTAACTCAACATTATAATCATCAATACATCCTTGATTTATACATACTTTTGTCAGATTTATATACTAACTAATGTTAAAATGATCAATTAAGAAAGGACATATGTTGAATATTGATTACTTTTCTTTCCTTCATATTTTTTACTTGTCATTTCCTTTCAAAACTCTATACGCCACGTGAAAAAGATTTAATACTTAAAAAACTTGATTATGTTTTTCCATAACTATTTCTTTTTGGAATTCGTGGGTTCTAGGACTAAATAAGAATCATTCTCTTTCTTTTAGTTAGATTCCTAACATAATGTATTAAATCTATCAAAAAAATATTGTTGTAGTTTATTAAATGCCCATTCTAACACATTTTTCTTTCTTCAATCTTAATAGTGGTTGTCTAAAATCTTATATCATAATAGAATATAAAAATCTGTGTCTATACCAAGCAAAAATGGGCTTAAAAATTGAAGACTTCATGTGCACTAATAAGCTTGAAAGGAAATAAGGGATTTAGCGAGATTCAAAGCCTAGTTTTGTGGGTAAATTCTCTAGCACAAGGATAGTTATACACTCATTAAGAGTGCGCTATTAGTTATATCTTCTTTTTTTGTCAGAGATAGATATAGATGTATATGCACCCACAGATATGAATGTGGGTTAGCCTGTGATAACAAGATAAAGTTACTTCTTGAGTGAAAATCATTAGTTGAAGCTCCAGTCTTTGATACGACATGTAAAAGCATAAATATTTATGCTAATAAAGAAATTAATATATATACATACCAGGATTTTGAACGAGCATATTTGAGGAAGAAAACGAAATCAATGTCCCTTTGCCCTATCTTATGCTACTATAACTTTTGTGATTGAATCAAGTTGAGGTAGTAACCCTAATGATCATAAAAGGACCAATTTATAGGATTTAAGGGAAAATGTTATTATTTTTGTTGCGCAACAGGTAATCTAATGAAATGGTGAATCTATTTAATTATTAAAATAAAATAAAACTTATATGGTACAACTTATTTATGATATGTAATTATCATATTAGTAATATTTGTAGTGTATGCTAAAAATAATTACTATTTATAGCTAATCTTTTTATTTCATGGAAAAATGGTAAAAACACATGACTATCTACAATTTGGTTGTAACATTAGGGATTTCTTGGCTAATATTCATTTGCTCTGTTAAATCGCGACTCATCCGAAAGAGGATAACTATTTGGTAGTTTTTACTTAGTTTTTCTTGTTTAAGTGCATTTGTTTCATTGATTTTTCTTCTATTTTAATCTTAGGCATTGTTAGGGACGGTAATCGAGCAAACTGGATAAATTTTAGGTCAATAATAATGGGTTAAGATAACAAACAGGTCAAGATCCAATCCGAACTAAATTCTATTAGATCAATATGAATTGAGCCAAAACTGGGCAGATAATGATTCAAGGCACAACTCATTATACTATTATAGTTTCAGCTTTGATGTTAACAATTTATTTTGATGTTTCAGTTTCAATCACCGTGTAATTATAAAAAATAAAATAAATCAAAAAAATAACCTAAAGTTGAAACTGAATTATCCAACTTTCAATGATTTGATTTAGTTTTTAGAACTAATAAAATGAAATAGTTAATTTAGGTTTTTTCTAATTAAAAATTAAATCAAATCGACCTTTGTTCCCCATATGAAATAAAGAGCAAATTTGATTTCGCATTTAACAACTAAAACTTCTTTTGTCGTTTTTCTTAATGATTCTAAGAGTGTATATATTAACTCCCAAGTAATATATGTTTTCTCGTTTAAATATTTTGTATATCATACGGTCATTTTACATGTTAAAGTATGTAATATATCTTATTTAAGATGCATCACAAATATTATAATAGAGAGAATGTATATAGTAGAAGAAAAATTTAAGGAAAAGATAATTAAGACACATTTAAAGTTTCATTTTGATTTTCCTTTTGCGAGTTTTATATGTAAATCATCATGTGTTTTAAATTTTCTACCTGAATTAGCCCGTGACAGTTCCAACTTCCGATGCCATGTCTTATTTCATAGATAAATTAATAACAAGAATATCATGCTAAATCTTTGTTAGTTCTGCAACACACATCATAATTTTAAAATAAACAACCAAAGTCTTAAATCAATAAAAAGCATGAAATGTAAAACCATCTCTATTCCCAAACAGAGTATTCAAAACATTCATCCATGTTCACAATTCAATATTTCCAAGCAGATAAAATCTTTATAGTACCTTAAAGCAAAGACAAAACACAGCCTTGTTACTCAATCAACCAAAGGTCTCGTTTCTGTTTGTACATCAAAAATATTTTTGCAAAAGATTAAGAAGGATTGTGATAACGATACTAATCAACAAGATACACGACTTCTGCTTTAGATGATGCCCGTTGTAACTTTGTTATCTCTGCGTGTACGTTGAGAGATTTGTTAGTTTCCATTTGATGAGGCTTGATTACCATTTTCACCAGTGCTGGAGACTTTGCCAATAAAACCTTGATAAGATGCATTCCAACCTCTTCTAATAGCACATCATAAAACTTAACTGTCCTCAGATTATTTAATGTGATATCCAAAAAGCTTGCAGGAATCTCATCAACAACTTCCCGGGGTGCACATTCGAAATAATCTCCATCACTAAGGATACATTACTAAGAAAAATCAAGAAAAAACCCATCAAGTCATTGCATAAGAATATAAAAACATGTAAAAGAACGAGAGAAAAATAAACATTAGTGACAACCTTAATATCAATTTCTTCAAAACTTTGAGAGCTCCGTATTATGCAAAGAGAAAACGAAAGCTCAAAATCCAAGACATGAATAGGCATTTCAGACAGTTAAGAACTAATGGAAGCCTTGTTGGTATAACTTTAGTTGATCCATTATCGACCTACGAATAAAATGACAAAAATCTAGATGACTGAAATTCCAAAAAAAAAAAGCACACATGAAAATACATTGCCACTATGTAAAATTAAGGAACATTACCTCAAAAAGATCCCAGCTGAAACACTCGAGACCAGGAATATACGAATAAATATTGAAAAAATCATCTTCGTCCTCTAGAACAAATTCTCTAGGCGCATACAGAATATTGGAAAGAACAGGGACATTTTCAATATATATAAATTGTTTATCGCCACGAAAGACAAGTGACCTTAGCATCGGAGCATTAATACTCATGAAGTACGAATTGTCTATGTCTTTCAACACCAAATCCTTAGGCAACGGGCAATTAAAGTGAATGATTTCAATATTAGCCTAATAAACCTATTAAATCCCTTAAAGTAACATGGAAGTTGAATTTCACATTCCTTGAGATACAAATGCCTCAATGCTGAACAATTAAAAAAGAAGTTAGGCAACCGTTATGGAGGATAAGTAAATGGAAGTTTAAGGAAAAAATGTTGAAGATGATCAATGTCGAGGGGAAAAAACCAAATGATCAACATCAGGACACACTATTAGACTAATAATATGGAGGGTGACCTTCAATATTATTCCTCTATGAAACCTGAGGAAACTATCAAAAATTTTAATAAATCCAATGGTAGGGGACGTCAAGTTCTCGGGTGTTTTCCACACTGTTTGATCAAACTTCACGTGTGGAATTCTCCAGCAAATATATTGCCAGTCCTTCGAAAGTGTATTAACTCTAACAACATCTGGAAAAAGACAACCTACTTAGAATTTCATCAATTAAATGAATGTTAAGACTCCTAAGTCGATAAGGAGAAGGTAAACTAAGTCCTTGTTCATCCAGAGGCATGACAATCTGTAGAATGTAAACAAAAGTACGATAGGTAAGGTCAAAGTACATAATACATGAACAACAAACAAACATGTCACAACTCTAAGATTAAAAGAAAAGTTACACAATAGAAGGCAAATGTAACCTTTTTCCATGTTTAAAAAATGCTAAAGAAATTATTTGTAGCTGACATTTGCATTGATTTCTTTAATCTGCAACTCTTGATGTAAATAGGTTTGGCTTAGGTTAAATCAAACACATATAAAGTATTTTTGTATAGAATTTGAAAAAAAACTTAGACGTTTAAATTCGAGATGTTATACTTGTTGTACTAGAAATTTATAGTATTGAATGCTTACGTCAAAATACTAAAGGAATGAAATGTGTTTGTTGTAACATTATAAATGAAATAGATAATACTTAACAATTCCTTTAGACCTAAAGGTGTCATTTGGTAGTATATATAAAAATAGTTTATATGTATTTTTAGTACAATGTTTGAGTGTAAATTTAACTCTGGTACAACTAATACTAGTATTACAATTAACCTCTTTTGGCATATATGACCCCAAACATTTGTTCTACACGAAGCATAAAATATTAATTTAGTGAACTACACACTTAATTTCAATATTTTGGTGAAACATAGTAAAAAATTACTTCTTGAAATTTTAATTTATGTTTAAGCTATTAATAGGAACACCAAAATCATGAGAAATGGTATTATTTTGTTAATTAAAATATTCATATCCAACCACATAATAATACATAAAACCTTCAAGACTTGAATGAGAAATCAGATTCGTATAAATTAAATAAAATATTGATAGTTGAACAAGGTGATATTCATTATTCAAAACTAAGCCATAAGTCTATATGTCTTAAATCTATGATTTCTCAAGATAAGATAATTAGAATTTCACAAATATTTTACATTTTCTTAATAGTGTTATTATTTTAAACACTACAACCTTAAGGGAAACAAGTTTGAAATAACATAATTTTGTTGCTACCAGCACCATTAAACAATAAATTTAGATATACCCATCATCAGATTATATTTCTTGTTATTGTTGTTTTAAGCTTTTTAGCAAAAAAAAAAGAAAGAAAGTTTTAATTTGTTTAAGATTCTTTTTTATGGACCATTTTTTAAATTTAACTTTGACATGATATGTTTAAAACCACAAGACCAATACATACATACATAAATACATACATACATACATACATACATACATATATATATATATATATATACACACATATTAAGAT